ACCACATGTGATAAAATGTTCCTTCTTTAATTTTACATTTCCAACACTTCGGGTCTATGTTTTTATACATTTTGGCCAATCTCGCCGGTGTTAAATGCCATCTGTAAATCATTTTATATTGATTCTCTCTATATGCAGTTGATAGCGTCAATTTGCAATTTCTGTTCCATAATCTTTCCCATTCCTCTAAATTTATATTGAAACCCACGCAGCACCTCACACACACCACTCTGACTTACACAGTGCTTATGTGTACCTCCTCGCACCTTCCCCGACCCCCGCCTCCCATCCACCTCCCCAACATATGCGTCACACATATTTCTCCCAATCCGTGCAGGGCCTCTCATATTCCTCCTTGCATATTGGTGCACCCTCCCAGACACTCTACGACCTACTCAGCATCTCTTGTGCACCCTGCACTCTTGTGCATCCTCTCCAATCCACATCTCTCACACCCTCAGTGAGCCACAAAGCATCTCTCACACATCCTTCAATAAATTAGTTTCAAATTGCTGGCAAAACTGTGCAAAACTGGCTACTTTCTCCTCAAATCTATTGAATTATTAAATTGATATACAGCCTGACCCCCAACATTCCTTCTGGTCCCTCCAGATGGGTTGAAAATATGATTCCCATAATTTCCTGCCCTAAAGAGAAAACTATGTGAATGGTAAATGTCAAGCAACAGGATAAAACTTATTAGATAGTATTTTTCTCCTCTTGTATAAGCAATATTGTTCATTCTAAATCTAAAGATCATTTTATAGATTCTCAGCTAAATCTATACCCACCTTAAATTTTGGATAATCGTTCATGATTATGGTCACCATTCCAACATACGGCAAAAACCTAATTGACAGAAGTTAAAGAGAGTTTGTTTATTAATCAATATAGTCATTAACTCAGCATTGGTGAATAGTAAATGTCAGGCATTATTGATTTAATATATTAATAAGTAAATTTACATCCTATCTCTTCATATGAATAGTATCAAGGTTACTGATATTAAATATAAGATACAATATGATGATAATGCAAAACCACAGAGTTTAAAAAATACACAAGCTAAAAATGTTTCTTTAGTACACCTCTTAAAACACTGAAAGCTACAAATGTTGCTGCCTGCATGAAGCCACATATAGTTAGTCCTCAATTTACAACCGGTATGATGCTTAGTGACTGCAGTGTTTGTTGTTAAAACCATAGTGTTTGCTTAACAACATGGTGATTTGCTTAATGACTGCCAGGAAAAAAGACTGTAAAATCAGGTCATTCATGTGATGACCCACTTTACAGCACAACTTACAACTGTACAACTTACAACTGTAAAGGGCAGGCTGTCAACGCTATGACAATGGATGTCAACGCTCTGACAACTGAAAATCAACGACCATTTTCTCTTTGCTTTTAACGTGCCTTTTCTGCTGTTTAGAGTTCAGATGTAGAACCGGGGATGGGGTGAATGCTTGAGGGTTTAGTTAGCCATAACAGTGCAGTAGTGTGGGAACTCAAGGACAATGTCTGATAAGGTTTTGGTGGGCTGAGGAGTCGGAGAGGAAGCCCATGTTTTGCGCTAATTGGGGAATGTGATTTATGACAGCTTTTGTGGGGGTGGGAATTGCAACTTGTTACTTTGTATCTGGGGGGAGGGAACTTTAGTCTTGGGTTCAACTATGTAAGTGCTGACACTTTGTTTCCTAATAAAATGTTCTTTAAGGAAGAATTTCTTGCCTTGAAGTTCTTTTGACTGGTTTCATCTATCGGAACCATGACACAGGCTCCATTACGTTTGTAAGTCAGGAACTATATTATTAGCCCTGTTGAATCAAGCCAAGGCCCATCTTAATTCATCATTTTGTTACACCAGATACTTCTGGGGTTCTTTTGCCATTATGCCCCTGCAAACTGCATTAGAAGCATCTTCCCGGCCTAGTATTTCCTCATTGTCTCCCCTCCAAGTACCAAACAGATTTGAACCAGATTAACTTTTTGAAGGGGTTGCTACCTGCTGCGATTCTCCCTCAAGCTAGACATGACTTCTGGGAACTCACGGACATGTCCAAATATTTTTTTTGGAAATAGTATGGAGGCTATCTCACTCTTTCTGAATTTTTTTTTTTTAACTTCCCAATCTAATGTTCAGGTCCTGGGTTTCCTACAAGTTTTTCATTTAGAAGTACTATCTGCTGTAGACATCAAAATAATAATTTAAACCAAATTTAGGGTGACATGTATTTCCACCTAAAAAATTCTCCTAATTTTCAGACAATCCCCGTTGTCAAAAGGGTTTCCCAGAGCTCTTAAAAATAATTTTGAGGATTGTATGTGGCCCCAAAGCCTCTGGTGATTCATCCTGAAATAAATGTATTTTCCAAATCAAACCACAATGCCAGCGGGGGAAAGACAAAGAGAGAATCCCATCTGCGTAAGTCACTGATATACCAGAGTTCACAAAAGAGACTGCTTGCATAATTAACTTAACTTACCCTCGGGCTCTGCCTACGACATCTTTCTTTTCTAGCCAGTTCTGTCCTTCTTTGTACAAACCTCTGTCATCAACTTCATTATTATCGCCCTTGGTCAAAAATTTGATGTTGCCATTTTCTCTGCAAGCAAGCAACAGGACAGGGAATGGATCAGCACCTCGTTGATAACCATTTTTGAAACTGTTTACAAAGCAGGTGATAAGATAGCAACACGTACATATTGTCCTTTCTGTATTTTAATAAATGTCCAGGTGCTTTAGGACTCCTGCTAACAGAGCTAAACAAGTATTTGGCTCTCCCCAGTGCATTATCTACTAGAGGTAGTCCTTGTTTAATGACTGGTTGCTTAGTGACTGTTTAAAGTTACAATGGACCTCCCCAGAGCTGCTCACGATCTATTTTCAAAGTTCCAACAATCCTCCAATGTTCACTTGATCACATTTTGGGCTCTTGACAACCAATTCAATTTACATTTGCAGCATCCCACTCATGTGGCCAAGATTTTCTGGTATTTTTTTTTTTTTTTTTTGCTGATTTCCAGTCTTTAACTTCTGGTTTCCACCCATTGAGAAAAATTGATTCATTTAACAACTGCCAGGTTCACTTAACAACTGCCGCAAACAAGATACTGTAGTAAAATCAAGTGTGGTCATGTGATGACCTGCTTAATGACTACAATCTGCAACAATAATTCTGGGGCATAATTACAGTTGTTAAGTCAAGAACTATCTGTTTAGTCACAGATTCCTCGTATATATTTTCTTTAGAACAAACCCAATTGCATCGTGGGCCGTATCATATCGTGATTTGTTTTGCTGGGGTGGGCGTGGCCTGTGCAGGCCACGTGCAGGCCACGTACTGCGTGTTTGACGTACCTGCTCTAGAAAAGAAATCTGGAAAACAAGCACTCACTATATACGAAAAAAGATTAAGTGGCTAAATAAGTTACTCCCTCCCTTCCCATCTTTTAGCTATTGTATTTTTTTATATTTTTGTAGTATTTTATTTATATGGTTTTATTTTTTAATATTGTAAGTTGGCCAGAGTTACCCTGTGGTAAGATGGGCGGCCAATAAGTTTAACAAATAAATACATCATTTTTGTCCCGATTCTGCTCATTTCCTCATCTTAACACTACCCACTACTTGGAAGCCAGCTCTGAAAAGCCTTAGCCACCCGACATAGGCCTGCTCTGAATTATTTTATAAGTATTAAGTATTATTTACTTTTCGTGAACTTTAATCACTCTGTGCACAATTGGAATATCTCTTCCTTCGACTTTGAAAACGACTATTTCTCCGGCCCTGATGGGGTCATCTCGGAAATTTGTCAAGAACAAGAGGTCTCCTCTATGGAAGGCTGGTTCCATACTACCACTAGAAAAGGAGAAAAGAATATTTAAAATTAACACAATGATTACCAAAGAATAAATAAGCATAGGATATTTGACACGGGTTTGTGTTACAAGACCGAAAATGTTTCAAATGTTTACCCACAATAGATTTAAATTAATAAAATTATCCCAATGATGCAAGAAACTCTGTAAATCTTTTATCTATAGAAGCCCAATGTCATTGTACATTATTGGAAAAGTTCAATAAATGCTTATTTCGGTAGTAGGGAATATATGTAGAACAGGCTTAAAATGTTGAGTTCTTGAGTGGTCTCTCAATTTGATCATTTTCAACCAACATCAATGATGATGTTACCTAAGCTTGCAATGAAATTTCCGCAGGAAAGCAACCAAGTTCAGAAAGCACCAAGAGCCCAACAGTAAATAATAATAATAATAATAATAATAATAATAATAATAATAATAATAATAATAATAATAATAATAATAATAATAATAATGATAAAGTTGGAAGGGACCTCGGAGGTCATCTAGTCCAACCTCCTACTTATTTTTAACATGTGTAGATGAGGGTGTAGGAACCTATAATCAAGGATTACCCATGGTTTCTCAGTCTGCCACCATTGTGTATGAAAGAACACACATGTGTTGCTGACTAATAAGGCTACTTATACAACACTAAGTGCTTTTTGTAGGAAGAAGATCAAAAAGGAACAGCTAACTTACTATGACCTAGTCAAATTTCATAACACAGCTTATTACAGATGGAATTTACTAGGGAACGTATTGAAGAAATAATGTTTATAAAAATCATAACCTCTCACTCACAAGCACTTTTCCTATTCCCAATTTGGTACAGGAATGAGACAAAAATTATGGGCTGCAGACTACCCCAGCAAACAAATTCTTCACAAAAAAGACATACCTGAGCACTACTACAATTGGACTCTCACTCCCGGTGATAACAATAAGGCCTTTCCATATCATTAGGGCTGAAGACACGATCATGGCAAAATTTAAAACTTGGTAATAGAGCTATAACAAAAGGAAGAGCAAAATGAAAAGAACACATTTCATACAGGGTCTTTGATCGCATAATCACCATTGCTGCTGTTATTATTTCAAGAGGCACTGTACTCATTTTTTGATTCTACAGGATGCACCGCTAAGTATTTCCAAATTTAAATATTAAACACAAATTTAATTTTCACACATACAACACCAACAAAGACCTTAACAATTTCAAATAAAGGAACTTCAACTAAAATATTAAAGAACATTAACTTGGATATGAAAAGTAGATCCAGTAGACCAGTGTTTCTCAACCTTGACAATTTTAAGGCATGTGGACTTCAACTCCCAGAATTCCACAGCCAGCATTGCTGGCTGTGGAATTCTGGGAGTTGAAGTCCACATGCCTTAAAATTGTCAAGGTTGAGAAACACTGCAGTAGACGTAAAGGAGTTTTGAGAACAGGAAACTGTCTTATTTGGTGTATTGCCCTTTCAGGTTTTTAGTGGCTGTGTAAGTCAAAAGACCATGTATTTGCATTTACTATAATTAGACTGATCAGAAAAAAGTTGCATTGTCCATAGATAAAAGGTAAAGGTTTCCCCTGTCTAGTCATGTCCAACTCTAGGGGGTGATGCTCATCTCTGTTTTTCAGCCAAAGGAGTCTGGATTGTCTGAAGACACTTTCATGTGGCCAGCATCACTATATGCCAAGGTGCACAGTGGTATCTCACCAAAGTGGTACCTATTTATCTATTCACATTTGGATGTTTTCAAACTGCTAGTTGGGCAGGAGCTGGGGCAAGTAACGGGAGCTCACCCCATCACGTGATGCTCGGGTCTTGAACATGGGCTGTCAGCTTTCCAGCTGGTAAGCTCAGCATCTTTAACATGTTTTAAGCAGTTACACCTGACTGCCTCCACAGAACAAAGAGCAAGGGGTTGAGTGACAAAGAACAGGGACATAAATAGACAGATAAATGTTTTATAATCTTCATATTCAACAAGCACTGGTTTCTTTCCTTAGAATAGTCACTCTTCCCAGGGTGCTGCATTTTTTATAATGAAGGCAGCAGTATGGCAGATATGTGTGTGAAGTAGGGCAATCAAAAACTGATCAACAAGAAGAACAGCACAACAACTGAAGAGCCATAAAGTAGATCAGCACACAGAGAAAAAAACAACATTAAGCCTTTCTTGTCTGCATGGGGTAATGGTGCAAAGTTCCATGCCAAGAGGTGGCCCAGTTTTCCATTTATTTAAAAAAACAAATAAACTGCTAACAAGGAAAACAGATTTATTTGCCTCCCGGTACTAGCTCAGTAGAAGCCTAAAAACAGAACCGCTGATTTACAACTTGTTAAAAGGCTACTTAGCACCAGCTCATGCCACATATTTGCACCCGCTCATAAACAGGTTCATGATCCTCACCAAAACTGGCTCTGAAAATAAAAAAAAACCCATCACTGTTCCTGGAGTGACAGAGACCTTTGCAGGGTTAGAAGTACTATAGCAAACTGCTTTATTCACACTACTTATTACCAATAGTAATAATGCAGGTAGCTCAGGGTTGGAGTCCTTGGTGCTCTTTGAACTTGGTGGTTTGCTTGCAGATGTATAGTGCTACCACAACCATCAGCATAGCACACAAACCAGTTAAAGCCCCCCCCCCCCAAACATCTTAAGTAAACCAAGAGACTCGGTAGACCAAGAAGATAAAGAACAGGACTCAACAACCACTATGTAGGAAAAACAGAAGACTAGCAGAGCTCATCCATGAACACCAATTAGCAGTCAGAAGACACAATGAAAATTTCACAACACATGGACAGATTTAACCATAGTTTCAACTGGGGAACTGTGAACATCCTAGACCAAGGGTGTCAAACTCAATTTCACTGAGGGCCGCATCAGCATTGCGGTTGCCCTGGGGGGTGGGTTTGGCCAGAGTGGGTGCAGCCTCCTGGGTGGGTGTGGAGTGGGTGTGGCCTATTGGGTGGGCGTGGCCAGTTCTACATCATTCGTGTCAAGGGTGCCTATGGGGCCCTGGGCAGGAATGGGACAGATCTGAGGGTCTCTGGCAGAAGGGGGTGGGACCGGGGCAAGTGCCAAGGCATGGTCCACCGGGGCAAGTGCCAAGATGGCCACCACAAAATTGTACATTGGCTCCCGGCCGGCCTGGGCCAGGGCCAAGGCAGTGGGGGCCGTTCCCTCACTGTTTCCAGGATGGCTTCGCGGGCCACATGAAACCATTTTGCGGGCCGCATCCGGGCCCCGGGCCTTGTGTTTGACATGCCTGTCCTAGACCAAGCTAAATCCAAAAACATTAGGGAATTAATGGAAGCTTGTCACTCGGACAAATCAGCCATCAACAGACACATAGAGATAAACCATATTTACACATCATTCAAAAGAGACAATAAGAAAGTTAAGAAGGAAACAAAAAAGAACAAAACACATCTTCTCCAGCAGCCAACATCCAGATAAGCAGAGATTAATACCAGACAAAAAGAGAGAAAACAATTGCCCTAATCAAAAAGCTTTCAAAGAAACAAACAATCAGGCAGAAAACAGTATCTAATTAAGGAGAAAACCACATCCCCACCAACACTGTAGGACAAGCTACTGCATATAAACAAAGAGCAAACCCTACACTCACTAATTTCCCACAATGTTACAAGCAAACAACCAAACTCAGAGAGAACCAAGGACTCCACATTTTATACACTGCTATTGCACTTCCAATCCAATCCATCTATTATTAACTTTAAGTGGAAATCTGTGTTGCCCAAATCAGTGCTGATTTTAAGATATTCAGGCAGCTGAATGCATGTGCCCGGGGAAAGCATGAGGTCCGCAGCCTGCCTACTTTGATCTAACGTAAGGTCAATCAATCTTTTAGTGATGGTCATGGGGAAGGATAATGATGAAAGTGGATGGGGCCAGCATGTATTTTCCCTCTGCTTTGGCACAAGGTATCAGCATCTGCAGAGAGGGTCAAAAAAGGCAAGATGGCAGACGCAGCACTGTGATGCATGTCCTTATGTCATAATGCTTCTTCTACCATCTCACCTTTGGCTTCAATCCTGTGAATCTTGAAGTTGCCAAGTTTGAGAAATATCGGATTTAAATGGTTTTTGCTTTCATTTACATTAAAAGATAAGTGCTTTTTAAAAAATAAAAAGGCAAATAACACAGGACATAGACCAGTGATGGCGAACCTTTTAGAGACTGAATGCCCAAACTGCAACCCAAAACCCACTTATGCATCGTCAAGTGCCGGGCAGGTGTGGCCCATTGGGTGGGTGTGGCTGCGGTGGTAACGGCCGACTGGGTGGGGCTAAAAAATTCAATCAATCAATTCCAACTTTGCAAGATCTTTTTTCTCCTGCGAGAAGTTGAAATTGACTGATTGATTGAACCTTTTTTTTTTTTTTTGCACACGGCAGCGGAGACCTAAAGCGAAAAGGTTTTATAAAACCCAGCTGAAGGCCTAGGACTGGGGTGACGGCGCACGTGCCCACAGAGAGGGCTCTGAGTGCCGCCTCTGGCACCCATGCCATAGGTTCGCCACCACTGACATAGACTGTAAATATGAAGGAAAAAAAATGAGATTCAAGAAGCATCCAAAATTCGATCTTTTTCAATTTGCAGGTTTTCTGCTTCAAGACATCAGGATTTATGTAGGGCAACCTTTCTTTCTGCCTCTCATTCCACTTGAAGGGAAAACAATGAGACAACATGATATGCCAAAGGAAGTTCAGTATCAGAAAGATTCAGCAGGTAAAATTACTAACACGTGGAAACACCTTGCTAGTATATCTTGCAATGACAATGCATCTTCCCCCCCAAAAAACAGATGTTTTAATGCTCCGAGGAGGGTTTTTTGCTTTGTACTACCTTGCTTTGCCCAGCACTAAAAAGAACCAAATCTACACCACTTGTACTTCTGACTGAAAAATAATGGCTCTTAATTTTTTTAAAAAATACAGAAGTCTTTCTAACCAAGACTGCTGATTTCAAGGTACAGTATATATGTTTCAAAGCAGTATAGGTAGTCCTGACTTAACAATGATAATTGAGATTGGATCTTCGGTCACTAAGTGGTGCGATTGTGAAGCATGTCACATGACCTCAGTGCTTAGTGATGGAAATCCCAGTAGACCAGACATGTCAAACACAAGGCCCGGGGACCGGATGCGGCCCGCAAAGTGGTTTCATGTGGCCCGCGAAGCCATCCTGGAAACAGTGAGGGAACGGCCCCCGCTGCCTTGGCCCTGGCGGGCTGGGAGCCAATGTACAATTTTGTGGTGGCCATCTATGCTGAAACGCATTCAGTCTTAACTCCACAAGGCTATCTGGAAACAGTGAGGAACCAGCCCCTGCCGCATCGGCCCCGCCCCCTGGGTGCATGCTGGGGAGGTGTCACCCTTTGTGAGGAATGAAGAAATGGACCATGCCTTGGCGCTTGCCCCGGTCCCACCTCCTTCTGCCAGAGACCCTCAGATCTGTCCCACTCCTGCCCAGGCCCCCAAAGGCACCCTTGATGCGAACGATGTAGAGCTGGACACGCCCACCCAGTAGGCCACACCCACTCCATCCACGCCCACCCAGTAGGCCTCACCCACCCTGGCCACATCCACCCAGCCCCCGAGGACAACCGCAATGCTGATGCGGCTCTCAATGAAATTGAGTTTGACACCCCTGCAGTAGACCCTGTTACTGCTAATGACTGGTATCACGGATCATTAAGTGAGGATATCCTTGAAACTTTCTGATGGCTTCCAATGGGCAGAGTCAATGAGGAAGATGGCGGGAAATTGCAAGTCATGGGTGGCTCACAAGCAGGCCTGTGGCTGGATCAGTGGCTGTAATGGCTTGGTGTAGTCAGACTGGGAGTGGCTGTTGCCAGAGACAGGAAGGTGTGCAAGTTGTCCTATGTTCTGCTGGCCATCATCCCCAACTGATCTTCACCTTCTTCCTCCCATTGCTAATGAGAACACACAGTCTGGCACTTCATGAAGCTGCAGTTGCCCCAATCCAGTCCAGCACTGCAACACAAAGCTGCAGCTGCCTCAGCCCAGCTTAGCACCATAAAGCCCAGTGTTGCAGCACGAAGCCCCGGCTGCAGCTACCCTCCCCACCTTGCCCTCCAGAGCTGATCTTCACCCTTTTCTTGCTCTTGCTGCTGCTGAGACCTGCCCAGCTGGGCTCTTTGAGAGGTAGCTGCCCGTCACACACGGCTTTCTCTCCTTCTTCCCTGCTTCTGCTTCCTGAAGGGCCAGGCTGATGTGTTTCATCAAGAGTGGAAGCAAGAAGATGGCGGGAAGCAAGGAGACGGCAAAGGTCATCCAGGTGTCAGAGCACAAGCATTGAAGTCCACAAGTCATAAAAGGGCCATAGTTCCCCACCCCTGGTTTAAAGCGAAGAGATAATAATAATACTAATAAAGTTGGAAGGGACCCCCTGCTCAGGCAGGAAACCCTATACCCGTGGTGGCGAACCTATAGGAAACCCTACCCGTGGTGGCGAACCTATAGGAAACCCTACCCGTGGTGGCGAACCTATAGGAAACCCTACCCGTGGTGGCGAACCTATAGGAAACCCTATACCCGTGGTGGCGAACCTATGGCACGCGTGCCACAGGCGGCACGCAGAGCCGTCTCTGGTGGCACAGGAGCCATTGCTGGGTTGAGCTGTTCCCTCCTCCTCTCCACGCATGCGCAGCTCTCTGCGCATGCGCAGTCTGGGAATAGGCGAGAGGCTATAAAAGGAGCAACTTTCGGTGGAAGCAGCATTTGCTGCAGACAGCGAGAAAGTGAGCACGAGTCGGAGCGGACAGCGAACAAGCAAGCAAGTGAGCACGAGCTGACAGCTCGGTGGCCACGCCCATTCAGTGGCCACACCCACCCGGCACCCAGCAATGCATAAGTGGGTTTTGGGTTGCAGTTTGGGCACTCGGTCTCTAAAAGGTTCACCATCACTGTCCTATACCATTTCGGATAAATGGCTGTCCAGTCTCTTCTTAAAAACTTCCAGTGTTGGAGCATTCACCGCTTCTGGAGGCAGGTTGTTCCACTGGTTAATTGTTCTCACAGTCAGGAAGTTTCTCCTTAGTTCTAGGTTGCTTCTCTCTTTGGTTAGTAATAGCTTGACTCCCTCTTCTTTGTGGCAGCCCCTGAGATATTGGAACACTGCTATCATGTCCCCCCTCGTCCTTCTCTTCATTAAACTAGAAATTCCCAATTCCAGCAGCCTTTCCTTATATGTTTTAGTCTCCAGTCCCCTAATCATCTTTGTTGCTGAGGGGAGATATGTGGGTGAGGGCTGTTAAAGAGTACCCTGCGATCGTAAACGTAGATGGGCTACCAAGTGCCTGAATTCTGATCATGTGACCACAGGGGCATTCCAACAGCGGTAACTCTGAGGACTGGGTATAAATGTCATTTGTTCAGCACTATCGTGATTCATAAAAGTTGCTGAATGAATGGTCATTATAAGTATAAGACATCAATTTCATTAAATCAATTCAGACCGTGCATACAAACAATTTTGATACACACAAGCTCAAGTCCTTGCTCACAAGCAGACCCAGCAAAGCAAACTGTACTCCTCTTTTACCTGGCGCTTGTTCATTCGCCGCAGGTCTCCAAAAATATCCATTTTGAGAGCTATAAGGAAAGAAAACAAAGATCTTATTCTTAAACTGGACTGAGTGTGAAAATGCTAAGGGGTTTCTCACACTATCAACGGGTGGTGCCCAAACTAAGCCAAATTGTAATAAACAGGGTACGAGAGTTGGCACCTCTGACAGTTATCAAGTGCGTTTGGTAGATTTCAGTTGTATCGCTCAGTCTCAATCCCTCCACCTATTTTATTATTTTTAAACTGGAAATAGCCTACAGTACTCTCTTCCAAGCTGCTGCCCCAACACTTCTCTGCTCTTAATGAATCCAGAGGGTCTCCCAGTGGCCCCATTTAGGGTTATCCAGAGTCTTCCCAGGAAGGGAAAGGACCATCTACAGGGCCGTGCAGAGGAATTTTCTGTGCATCCGGAGGATCAAATTGCTTGGATTCATTCCCAGTTGGATACCAAGCATGATGAAAGTCCTGTGGAGATGCCTAAGGAGCAGACTGTACTAGGTGACAGTTTGCTTCTGGGTCCAATGAAAGGTATTGGTTGTGACTTATAAAATCCTAC